TCGAAAATTGAAAAACGGGAAAACCAAAAAATCGAAAAGTCAAAAATTTGTAATATTGAAAATTAAAAAAATCAAAAACAAAAATAAAAAAAATCGGAAATTAAAATAATCAAAATATATAAAGTAAAAAAAATTGCAAAGCCTAGAAACTGAAACGAACAGAAAAATCGAAAAGGCAAAAAATTGGAAAAACAAAAATTCGAAAAATCTAAAATCGAAAAAGTGGAAAATGGAAAATCTGAATAAAGAAACTTGAAAATTCTGAAAATTCGAAAATCGAAAACCAAAAAATCGGAAAGTAACAAAATTGAAGTCTAACTGTTAAGAATGAAAAAATTGAAAAACCGAAAATTCTAAAAATCGACAATGGACAAATTGAAAATTGCAAAATTTAAATCGAAAAATTGAACATAGAAAAATCGATGAATTGAAAAATCGAAAATTCGACTACTCAAATTTTCTAAAAATCGGAAAATCATAAAACTGAAAAATCCAAAATTCTAATCATCGAAAGTCGGAAAACTGAAAATCGAAAATTCTGAAAAGCGGAAAATAGAATATCGAAAAATTTAAAAGAAAGAAAATTGAAGTCTAAAAACCGAAGAATGTAAAAATTAAAAATCAAAAATTCGAAAAATCAAAACCGAAAAATTCAAAGATTTAAAAAGAAAATCGAAAAATCAAAAATCTGAAAATTGAAACTCGAAAATTTGGAAAATCGAAAAGTCAAAAAATTGAAGTCTAAAAGCTGAAAAATGGAAAACTGAACAATCGAAAGTTCGAAAATCAAATATCGAAAAATCGAAAAGCCGAAAAATCGAAAATTTGATAAATCAGATATGCGAAAAACAGAAAATCTGAAAATACAAAACTGGAAAATCAAAAATCTAAAAATGGAAAAACCGAAAATCGAAAATTCAATGAATCTAATACGTAGGTCGATCGAAAAACTGGAAAATCACAAATCTGAAAAATCGAAACTTTGCAAGATTGAAAAACCGAGAATTGGAAAATCAAAAAACCGAAAAATGGAAAAATCAAAAAATAGGAAAAGCGAAAATTCGAAAATTCATAATATTGAAAACTCTAAAAGTCGACAATTCAAAAATCAAAAAATTGGAAAGTAAAATAATCGAAAAATCGAAAAGTAAACAAATTGCAAAGCCTAAAAACTGACGAACAGAAAAATCGAAAAATCGTAAAATCAAAAAGTGGAAAATCGAAAACTGGAAATTGAAAAATCGAAGATTGGAAAATCGAAAAATCGAAAATCGGAATATCGAGAATCGACAAATTAAAAAACCGAAAAATCGTAAAATTAAAAAATCGGAAATCGAAAAATGAAAAAAAAAACAAAATTCAAAAATCGAATAATCCAAAACTAAAATAATAGAAAAGTGGAAAAGTAAAAATTGCAAAGTCTCAAAACTGACGAACAGAAAAATCGAAAAATCAAAAAAAAAAGAAAAATATCTAAAAATGGAAATTCGGAAAATGGAAAAACCGAAAAATCGATGAAACAAATACTCGAAAAAGAGAAAAGTAAAAAAAATTGCAAAGCCTAAAAATTGAAAAATCAAAAAATCGGAAAAATGAAAATCGAAAAAACGACGATGGAAAAAAAAATAAAAAAATCGGAAAGTAACAAAATTGAAATCTAAAAGCTGAAGAAGGGAAAATTCTAAAAAGCAACAATCGAAAAAAGCAAAATTAAAAATTGAAAATTTGAAAAATGGAAAATCGAAAACTCGAATTTCGAGATTTTGAAAAATCGTAAAAATGATAATCGAAAAATCGAAATGCTCAAAAATCGAAAATTCGATTAATCAATATTCTAAAAATCGAAAAAACGGACACAAATCCACAAATCTGAAAAATCGAAAATCGAAATATGAAAAATTAAAAAACCGAAAAATTGAAAAATCCCAAATCGAAAAATGGAAAAACCGAAAATTCAAAAATCAAACTATCGGAAAGTAAAATGGAAAAATAAAACAAATTGCAGAACCATAAAAACTGAAACAAACAGAAAAATCTAAAAACCACAAAAGCGGAAAAACGAAAATCGAAAAATCGTAAAATCAGAAAATGGAAAATCGAATAATCGAAAGTTGAAAAATCGAAGGTCGAAAAATAAAACAACCGAAAAATGGAAAATTTAATGATTAATGGAAAATCGAAAAATCGAGAATAGAAGAATTAAAAAAACCGGAAAATTGAAAAATCGAGAATTCAAAAATCAAAAAAATCGGAAAGTAAAATATAATAATCGAAAAATGCAAAAAAATTGCAAAGTCTAAACGCTGACGAACAGAAAAATCCAAAAATCTAAAAATGGAAAGACGAAAAATCGGAAATTGAAAGAATGGCAAATCAAAAAATCGAAACATCGAAAAATCAAAAAAAAAAGGAAAATTAAAAAATCGAAAAACGAAAAAACTGAAAACTCGACAATTCAAAATACCGCAAACTTGAAAAATCAGAAAATTGGAAAGTAATAAAATCGAAAAGTTGATAGAAAAATGGAAACTGAAAAATCTAATTCGATGAAACTGTTGGTCGAAAAAACGAAAAATCGAAAATCGAAGCGACCTTTTTTTGAGACAGGGTGTATAAGTAAATCTAAAAAATATTACTGCAATGATAAATCACAGGTATAGACTCATCATATCAAATTTTACGATGACGTCATGCATTTTTTGGCGAAGATAAGCAAATACATTTTGATCGTGGCTTTGAAAGTATTCTTCGACTTTCGTTCCATTTCAAAATTTACTCTTTGTATATTTCAGTGGTCACAACGAGTTCACTAACTACGCTGAAGTATGCGAAGATGAAATTTGTCACCGAAAAGATGTCGGAAGTAATAAATTATCCTATCGGTCGAAGAACGTTCTGTCCGGTGTTATACCTCGACCCAAGAGAGACCGCAGTAAAGGATAACAAATGGAACGGATAAAATAAAGCGTCAAACATGATTGATAAACTTTAAACCAAAATTATGAAGTTTATAAACTGATTTTTTTTTTGTTTTTTGAAATGTAGTACTCTTCAAAAAATGTCCGTGACTTACTTTAATGTGTATTTTATAACTATGGTCGGCACAATTAGACCTAATATTAGTGTGATTTTGAGCATATTCTCGATGTTATTAGAGCAGGACAGATTTTTTTTTCTAACTAATTGACAAGATTTCTATGTATTCAGTTTTGCAATTCTTGATTTCTTCAATAAAATAAATTGACTCAGTCATTATTTTTTTTTGAGTCACCCTGTATGTATGAACAAATCCAAAAAATATTAATGGAATGGTAAATCAAAAATTATAGACTCATCATATTCTGAACATATTAGATAGGGTATTTATAAAATTAAAACTAATTCAGAGTAAGTATTTATAAAATTAAAACTAATTCAGGGTAAGAATTTGGTCACATCAAAACAACTTCAGGCCCGTCGTTTCAAAAGGTTAGAAACCTATTTCTCTCACTCGACATATTTTATTCTCAAATTAAAGCAATATTTAAACTTCTGTGAAAAATTAACACCTCCGGCTGGATTCGAAGCGGCGACCCACGCGTGTCTAGCACGTTAGTCGTCCTCTTGAGCTATAAAACACAGCCGTAGGTGACGATTTTTCACAAAAAATTAATACCTTCAAGTTCTGTTTAAATAACTATAATCACCCTAAGTAATATTAAATTAACTCATAATATAATTAATTTCAAGCGTCTACGTCAACAAGACTTCACCAACCCCCGGTTAATTTTACAACACAATAAAAGCCAGAATCGACAACCCCCATAAAATCTGCCGCCGCCCCACTTGACGTTGTCCTTTAATAAAGATAAGCCCCCATAAACCCCAGGTAGGCCCGCATTTGCACCTCCTTCAAATTAAAAAACAGCAACTACTGTAAATATTTCCCGATTGTGCCGAGGACAAAGCAAGGGCGTGCCGGGATATTATTGAGCAAACCCGGCTCTCTTTAAAAATAACTCCCTTTGCAGATGTGTGTGTCGTTTCACACCCTCATTCATCACCGGGGGTTGCGCTCCGGTAATTGATTATTCACCGTTTTATTGGAGCACTTCTATTGAAAACGCTGTCGGGACCGTGAGAGGATAAGTGCGAGAGGGTGAGTTAAGTAATTGTGAGCAGGACAAGATTGTCTTGGTGTAATTACGACGGCGTCGGCTGGGTTTTATTGGCGAAGGCGAAGTTTACCTGAAAATGCGCCGGAATTTTAGGCAAACTTGAGTTTTTGGTCAAGATTCCGTACATCAAAACGGTGACTATAGATGCAATATTTTTAAAATGTGGTCAAAATTCGCCACAATGTTTTGAAATATTAACAACACTCTAGTGTTTGCTCGGAATCTTAATCCACCTGTAAACACAGATAGCAAAAATTGCCAAAAGATAAGAAAACAATAACAACGACGACGTTAAAGCTCGTTCGTTTGGAAAGTTGGTGGTGTTAAAGACGACGTCAGTGTCACCACGGTAAGCCCTAAACCTTTGTTGCCCAAATAACAAAAGACAGACTTGGGCCGGTCCTTACCTGTCGCAACCGGTAATCTCCTAATCCCCGACATCCCGTTACTTTGACCACCCTGTGAATAAACAAACCCAGCTACCAAGAAATAAAAAACTTAATTAAATCCGCTCACAAATAACGCTCCTTTACACGAAAATCGGAAGTAGTAAATCCAAACGTCCCGTTAACGACCAATAAACCAAATTAACGGCCGTGTTAAATGGAAAACATTTCGCGTTTTTGACATTTCAGTTGGCAATTAAAAACAATCGCGATGTTCGATGTCGCCGGCGATAACCGCGAAACACGAAAAGACTTTTGATTAATCGCCCCGCGGGTCGCCACTTCGCATAATTTCCAAAGGGGGTTAAACACACAATTTCGACCACGAGTTATCGCTACGGGGTGGTTGGCGAAAAGCAAATTCCCTAAAGTATGAAAAAAAACTGGTTGCACTTACCCCCTGGCTTGTCTTGCAGCCACGTTCCCGGAAGACTTGCCGCCTCCGCGTCTTTCTTCGCCTGCTCGCAGCCCGGGGGCCCGCACCGCGCCGCCCCTAGCAGCAGCCCCCAGATGATACCCTGTCTCAGAAGTCGTATACTCAGCCCCCGGCACTCAGTCCTTTGAATCACAGCCATCGCTTTCGGTTTTTCGTGCTAACCCACTAGATATGCGTATTTGTGCGTCGTCTACAGCCCCATCACGAGTTCCGGTTGCTAAGGCACATCAACCCCCGTCTCTACATTCCGGGATTCCGGCGACTGGCGACTGCAAGAATGTGGACCTTTCAGTACCCGTGCATGCGCACAACTGCCGCTTTCCGGTTAAAAATTTCGTGCGTGCTGCGTGCGCGTGCGCACGCGGTAGCCGGCCAGAGGGGGTAGGTGGCGGCGCACGCGATTTGCTCCTTTTGTGCGATTGCAGTTTACCACGAATTCACGGCCGGTTTGATTGTGGGTAACGTCATTTTTTTACTTTTTTCCCTTTGCGTGAATTTGACGTCAAAATTCCAGTGTGTAAGAGCAGTTGCAGCCGCCGGGACCCAGGAATGCGGGTCGCGTGCCCGGCGAAGCAGATCTTCCAGAAGGTCACCCATGTCATCTTCGACCTGGACGGGTTGCTGCTGGGTGAGTTTTCGGGGTTGGGACGACGCTGTCATTAATTATGTCATTGATAAATGTCACCGGGAGGTGCTGCCAACTGTGCGGTTGCGTAATGATGGTTGCCTAAACTATTTATCTCGAAATTAACAATCTGGGAAAATGTTTTAGACAACAGAAATTTTATTGCTTGAATTCAAACAAGACCAAAATAAAAAATAAACCGTTCCGAGGTTTGTAACATCCAAGAGGACGTCGCAAAAATCTAATCAGGCCACTTTTTGTGCACTCACTTTCCTAATTTTCCTGGTCCACTACCCCCCATCATCTCTTCAGTTCTGTGCGATCTGTGCCGTTTCAGATACCGAAATTCTGTACACAAAAGCGGCCCAGAACGTAGTGTCCAAATACGGCAAATCCTACACACAAGAAATAAAACATAAAACGCTGGGCTTTCAAGGGGCCGACGCAGCCAAAGAAGTTGTCAAACTTTTAGATTTGCCCCTGACATGGCAAGAATATTACAAACTGGTCAAACAGCAGTACCCTGTTGTTATGAGAAACGCGAATTTCATGCCAGGTATGTAACCGCGACCCCTCTCATTGCAGACACAGAGTCCATATACAAGAAGGTATTCAGCGACATCGCGCAGCGACACGGTAAAGTATACACCGCGGAAACGCGCGGCAAGGTCATCGGCACCACCGAAGACGTGGGGGCGCGGATTGCCGTAGAAGAAATGCAGCTGCCAATGTCGCCTGAAGATTTCCTCAAAGAGTACAAAGCGGCTGCGGACAAGTCCTTACATACTGTAGGCTTGATGCCAGGTAGACACCTCCACGTCTGCCACAATTCACGCTATTTCGAAATATACGTTGTAACTCTTGCAGGAGCGGAGCGCCTCGTCCGGCACTTCCACACGAAGCAGATTCCTATCGCCGTGGCAACGTCTTCCGGCCAAGACACCTATGACATCAAAGTAGAGCATCACAAGTCCCTTTTCTCGCTTTTCAGTCACGTAGTGACCGGAGGCACGGATCCTGAAGTCAAGAGCGGTAAACCGAGCCCCGACATTTTCCTCGTGTGCGCGCGCCGGTTCAAGGATTCGCCAAAGCCGGAACAGTGCTTGGTACTAGAAGACGCCCCCAACGGGGTCCAAGCCGCCGTCAAAGCGGGCATGCAGGTGGTAATGGTCCCTGATAAGCAAATTGAAGAAAAGGCCACTAAACTAGCGACACTTAAACTGAATTCTTTAGAGGAATTCAGGCCAGAGATGTTTGGGTTGCCACCTTTAGAGTGATGTACTACTTTGTATTTATTTTATTAGTTGGTGATTAAACTATTTACACTTGCTACGTTGTTTGGGTTTACTTGGCTACTGCAGATATTTGCGACAAGACGTCGGAGGCGCTCATGTCCTTCAACGAAACGCTGGTTTCTTTACCCTTGTCTTGAAACAAAAAATCAATAAACGAAAAAATTAAACCGTTCTTACCGTGTCTAGCCCAGAGTTTCGGTTCCACGCCTGAACATTCACGAATCAAAATGGGGGTCTTAGGGTTACCGGATTTGAGCGAAACGTAGTGTTGTTCGATGAAGTCTCTACGATTACATAACCTCAATTTCGCAAAATCGACGAACAGTACGTACCTAACGCCTTGACTGGATGGAGACTTTTGGCACAAATGAATGCGCAATTCTTTCAAACGAGACGCGAATTTAACAGCCCCAGACATTTTTACACTTTTTTTTTACAAATTATTCTAAATCAACGAATGACAGTTCTGTAAATGTCATTCGCTACCAACCACACGAACTTCACGCAAAAAAAACCAAACCGATTATAAAATAAAACACGTTCAAATCGTACGTTTATTAATAAAATATAAAACCTTGTATAAAATCTCCCTTGTAACTTACATCAAAGTTCTGTAGGCCGCCTTCGTCCTCCACGCGGGGTGATTTTTCCCAAAGAGCTTCGGAGGCACTGGCCCTGGCGCCCCTATGGTGTACTCAGCCGCGCACAGCCCCACCGAGACACTCTCCTCCTCGCTCAACCCATCCAACATCCCCGCTATAATCCCACTGGCTAAATTATCGCCAGCCCCGCTTACACTAACCACCTTCGTGCTCCTATCCCCCACGTACTGTCTGATTTGCAAGTCGCCCCCGTTCTGCGAAAGCAGCGACTCTGTTGCAGCCCCCTTTCGTGCCACAATCACCCCATCAACCCCCAAAGTGACAATTATAGTGTCCACGAACTCCACCAATTTCGACGCTACAGCAACCACCTCCTGCACCCTATTATCGTATTTCCGTTTTGGAAGAACCCCAAAATGCTCCGCTATGTGCCTCAGCTCGTGCACATTCGGCGTGATGAACTTGATAGCCCCCCAGTGCTCCGTCTGGAACGGCTTGACCGAAACCTCGAAATCCGTCGGTTCGAACAAAACTGAAATCAAAAAACCCGCGTTAGTGACACTTATTAAACCCAAACTCCCTAAACCAAACGTCAAAACCAAAAATGGCGAAAACAAAAACAGGAATTTGTGCCGTTATCTTATCAGTAGCGTCGTTCTTCTTCATTTTGACCGCATTCTGCTCCGGATACTGGCTGGTCAACGATGGAAAAATCCCCGACCCGAATTTCATCCGTATCGGTATGACATAACCAATTTTGTGGGAAAATAGGAGTGGCACTTTGATTTTAGGGCTGTGGGAGGTGTGCTTCGAGAATTTCGAGGACTTCAGGCACCACTACGATAACAAGTTTACCGGGTGCTGGTGGGTCTTCGAGGAGGAATATTACATAATACACGATTTTCTGCTGCCGCCGTTTTTCATCGCAACGCAATTTTTCTTCACTTTGTGTATGACTTTGGTGCTGGTCGCCGTAGCGCTGACGTGGCTTTATTGCTTCTGTAGCCGCGACCACGATAAATACTTGATTTTGTTGATGAGCAACGCTTTGAACCATTGGATTGCGGGGTTCTGTGGGTTCGTCGCGGTGATTGTTTTTGGTTTGAATGGGGACAAGAGGGATTGGATGCCGTATTGGCAGCATAACGATTTGGGGTGGTCTTATGCGTTTGCGGTCGTCGGGTCGTTGTTGTTGTGGCCTGCGGGGGCTTTGTTTTTGACGGAGGGGCGCAGGGTGAAGTACCGACAACTTGATCGTTCGAGACCGGCTTCCCAGTATAGTATGGAGGCTCCAAAGCCCTCTCATACCGACATTTAATTGATATTAAGCTTCGTTTCGTTTGGTCTGTATGTATAACTTTTGATGATTTATTGTGTTGTTCTCTCTGATATTTATTTGTTTTGTATTCCGTCCGACGAAAGCACATCAAATGATTGCCTTGTCTTACGTATGTGGTATACCGCATACTAATAACGAGAGTATTTTTATACATTAATATATACTTTTTTATCGACTTTTCGAATTATATATTGTTAACTGTAGGAGTAGTAGTGTAAGACACTTTTATTTTGTACAAATTCGTATAACGTAAAAATAAATGAAATGTGAGAAACGTTAGGGTTATGTAAATCTTTCCCTTTTCAAGTAGTTCAAGTATATCTATTGTCTTGTGTGTGGACAGGGCCTTGAAGTAATTTGTTCCGTTGTGTAATGGGTCTAAAAGAGAGATTCATATGCATGAGACACGTTTCAATGGGTGTCTTGTTTTAGTGCGACCTGGGTTAATTAACAGCCATCCTTTTAAATAGTCGAGGTCGAATTACGAGCAAGCGGACAATCGAAGCACGCTTAAGTCATAATTACATTGACATAATCGGGCGGACGGATCCGGAAAACAATAAATTGTGGATATCCGCATTGTTATCAGTCACCACGTCACACACTTTATTAGATAACCAAAACTCAAGATAATAACCTATTAATACTAGGTTTGTTTGTTTTTGTTTTACGAAGGTTATGTTTGCTTTTTTAACGTAGTTAAAACGGATTGCATGTCATCGCCAAATCATTAAGTGGCCACAAAACAAAATGTGGGAGAATTATTATTTTGGATAAAAAAAAATGTGAATAGAAAATAATTACGATTTGTCATAGTCTTATGACATTTGACATAAACGCCCAATATGAATCATCAAATTAAAAAAATATATCACTGGGATGACTAATGATTAATTATGTCAAGCTCTTGCGACTACCAAGAAAATGAAACAAAAAAAACTTTTGGCTACTTTGGTCGCTTGTTTACGTCTGTCTGTCTGTCTCTTTGTATCCATTTTTATTAGACACGTAATCTCCGAAACTAATTTCTACGTGACATTCTTTCGATGTATAAACAATTAAACATAAGCTTGTACACTCTTTTCCGTTGCTTATTTGCTTTGAATACATATATTTCATATTGATTTTATATTGCGTTCTTTTCACAACTAAAAGCTTAAAACATTACTTAAAAATGGTAAAATGGTAAATTTTGGTGGGGAAATATGTATGCTGCAATTCATCACAATTGAGATCAGGAAGGAGGAGGAGGGGGGGCGTACTTAATATTTCTTTCTTTTCTTAATTTACATAGTTTTCTATGAACAACACGATGGTTAAAGATGTTTTCAGTTTCTTGTTGGGAAAAGAAGACTTGGTATATTAAGAAAGAATGGACAAAATATAAGCCCCGCCCACCCACCCCCTCTCAATTGTGATGATTTTTTTATTCATCGTGAGCCAACAGAAAATTCTGATTTCTGCACAAGAAATTACCATGTGAAGTATGTTTTAAAAGAGTAAAACTTTGTAGAGGAATATCGATTTTGCAATTAAACTCCACCCCTCGGTCTGATAACGAATGAGAAACTCATCACAATTGAGATCGGGGCGGGTGGGTCGTGCTTAATCTTTATTTTTTTCTTAATTTATATAGTTTTCTTTGAACAACACGATACTCAAAACATGTTTTTAATTTCTTGTAAAGAAATAAGTATTTTGTAGTTAAGCTCCGCCCCCTTGCTTAACGGAGCATAAAAAAATCATCACAATTGAGACAGGGCGGGTGGGCGGGTTTCCATTTTGCCTTTTTCTTTTAATGTGCGCAGACTTCTTTTCACAACATGAAACTTAAATCATGTTTAAAATGGAAAACTTGTATAAGGAAATATCGATTTTGCAATAGATTTCGCCCCATAATTGCAAAATCCATGTTTCCTTGCAAAAACCATTTTAACCATGTTTTAAGTTTCTTGTTATGAAAAGATGGCTATAGATATTAAGAAAAAAAAAGGCAAAATATAAGCCCCGCCCACCCGCCCTATCTCAATTGTGATGATTTTTTTTATTCGTCGTGAGTCAAGAGGGCGGCGCTTAACTGCAAAATCCTTATTTCTCTACGAAAAATTAAAAACATGTTTTTGAGTATCGTGTTGTTCAAAAAATACTATGTATATTAAGAAAAAAATAAAGCCTAACATTAGGCCCCACCCACACCCGCTCCGATCTCAATTCTCAATTGTGATGGATTTTTTATTCGTTGTCAGATCGAGGGGCGGGGCTTAATTGCAAGATCCATATTTTCTCACAAAATTTACCAATTTAATCGTGTTTTAAGTTTCTAAGAATAAAAAAATCATCACAATTGAGATGGGGTGGGTGGGCGGGGATTATATTTTGCCCTTTTTTCTGAATATACATTCATAGTATTCTTTAAACAACACGATACTTTTTTTTTAATTTTTTATAAAGAAATAAGTATTTTACAATTAAGCTCCACCCCTCGGCTTACGACGAATAAAAAAATCATCACAATTGAGACAGGGCGGGTGGGCGGGCTTACTTATTGCCTTTTTCTTTTAATATGTGTAGACTTCTTTTCACAACACAATTCTATAAGAAAATATTGATTTTGCAGTTTGGCTCCGCCCTATAATTGCAAAATCCATTTTTCTTGTCGTGAAAAGTATATTAAGAAAAACCGATTTATCGAAATATTGAAATGTCAAACATCGAGTTACCGAATAGTGAAAAATCGAGAAACTGAAATATTTGAAAACTGAAAAATCAAAACATCAAAAAGTGAAACGAAAAATGGAAAATTCGAAAAATCGAGAACTTGAAAAATCACCAGTTCGAATCTAAAATTCGAGAAATTGTGAATTTGAAAACTCGGAATATGAAACTTAAAATATGTTTAAAACGGAAAATTTGTATAAGGAAATTGGCTCCGCCCCATAATTGCAAAATCCATATTTCGTTGCAAACATGTACCATTTTAACCATGTTCTAAGTTTCTTGTTGTGAAAAGATGGCTCTGTATATAAAGAAAAAGAAGGCAAAATATAAACCCCGCCCACCCACCCTATCTCAATTCTGATGATTTTCTTTATTCTTAGAAATTTAAAACAAGTTTAAAATGGTAATTTTTTTAAGGAAATAGGGATTTTGCAATTAGGCTCCGCCCCTAGGTCTGCCAACGAATGAAAACTTCATTTCTATTTAGATCAGGGCAGATATGGGTGGGGCTTAATGTCTAATATGGTAATTTCTTCTAGAGAAGTAATAATGATTTTGCAATTAAATTTCGCTCCTTTGACTCTCGACGATTAAAAAAAAATCATCACAACAGAAATAGGGTGGGTGGGCGGGGCTTATATTTTGTCCAAGAAACTTGAAACATGTTTAAAATGGTAAATTCTTGCGGACAAATATGAATCTTGCAATTAAGCCCCGCCCCTCGATCTGACAACGAATGAACAATTCATCACAATTGAGAATTGAGATCGAGGCGGTATGGGTGGGGCCTAATCTTCGGCTTTATTTTTTTCTTAATATACACAGTATTCTTTGAACAACGTACACCATAATCAAAAACATATTTTTAATTTCCTATTGAGAAACAAGGATTTTGCAGTTAAGCTCCGCCTCTTTAGCCCACGACGAATAAAAAGAATCATCACAATTGCGATAGGGCGGGTGGGCGGGCTTACATTTTGGCTTTTTTTTTCTAATATACAAAGCCATCTTTTCACAACACGAAACTTAAAACATGGTCAAAATGGTACATTTTTGGAAGGAAATCGATATTTCCTTATACAAATTTTCCATTTTAAACATGTTTTAAATTTTCTGTTGTGAAAATAAGTCTATATATATTAAAACAAAAAGGCAAATGTAAGCCCGCCCACCCACCCTATCTCAATTGTGATGATTTTTTTATTCTTAGAAACTTAAAACGCATTTAAAGTGGTGAATTTTTGTAAGAAAATGTGGATTTTGCAGGCATATGTGGGTCTTCATCTTTGGCTTTAATTTTTTCTTAATATACATTGTATTCTTTGAATAACCACATCTTACATGGTAATTTCTTGTCTAGAGAAATAATAATGATTTTGCAATTAAATTCCACTCTTTTACCCCGCCCACCCGCCCTATCTCTATTGTGATGATTTTTTTTATTCGCCGTGAAGCAAGGGGGCGGAGTTTAACTGCAAAATACTTACTTCTCTACCAGGAATTAAAAACATGTAGAGAAGTAAGGATTTTGCAGTTAAGCTCCGCCTCCTTGGCCCACGACGAATAAAAAAAATCATCACAATTGCGATAGGGCGGGTGGGCGGGCTTAAATTTTTCTTTTTTTCCTAATATACAAAGCCATCTTTTCACAACACGAAACTTAAAACATGGTCAAAATGGTACATTTTTGGAAGGAAATCGATATTTCCTTATACAAATTTGCCATTTTAAACATGTTTTAAATTTTATGTTGTGAAAATAAGTCTATACATATTAAAACAAAAAGGCAAATGTAAGCCCGCCCACCCACCCTATCCCAATTGTGATGATTTTTTTATTCTTAGAAACTTAAAACGCATTTAAAGTGGTGAATTTTTGTAAGAAAACGTGGATTTTGTAGGTATATGTGGGGCTTAATCTTTGGCTTTAATTTTTTCTTAATATACATTGTATTCTTTGAATAACCACATCTTACATGGTAATTTCTTGTCTAGAGAAATAAAACGAATTTTGCAATTAAATTCCACTCTTTTACCCCGCCCACCCGCCCAATGTCAATTGTGATGATTTTTTTTATTCGCCGTGAAGCAAGGGGGCGGAATTTAACTGCAAAATACTTGCTTCTTTACCAGAAATTAAAAACATGTAGAGAAATAAGGATTTTGCAGTTAAGGTCCGCCTTCTTGACTCGAACGACGAATAATAAAAAAATCATCACAATTGAGATCGGGTGGGTGGGCGGGGCACCATTTTGCCTTTTTTTTCTTAATATGTGTAGACGTATTTCGACAACAAGAAAAGTGTTGTTAAACCACTCAAAAATGCAAAGTAACCTGAATCTTCGCCATTTCTTCTCCTAATTGAAAGTAATAGCGATAAGAGCTCTCGCTGGATGTGTAAATTTTTACCTTAGCCCACTTCAACGCCAGTTTAGTCATTTTTTATTTTCGCCTGTATGTCCTCTGCGATAAAGCTCATTGTTGTTTAAAACTGGCATTACGACAATAAAAATTTTTGACTTTATGGATCCACCACTCTGTATATCTACAATTAATAACGAAATGCTCTTCCATCAATTCTTACTTAAACTCCGCTTTGACACCAACTTTCCCGAACCAAATGAGGTCACCCATCCAACCCACTGTGCCGCTCCCTCCAAATCTCGACCCAAACTCTAGACCATGAACAGGTGTGGTCAACGCCACACAGAACCCATCGGCGTCATCGAAAACAACTCTAATGTTATCAAAACATAACCAATCAAACCGTGCTACAACGTCCAAGTCCAAGTCGTGACTAACACCACCACCGCCCATCAAACTCCTCGCCCAACGTAAACAATGGCCGAATACGAGGTAAACACTCACTACACCCCAATTTCGCCCCTTCAACCCTCGTTCGTTTCAGACAAAACGGCGCTCGTTGGCTGGTAACATCGCCATCGCCTTCTTCGTGATCAGCTTCATCCTCATCGCCGTCGCCTTCGCGACCCCCAGCTGGCTGGTCTCCGACTACAGAATCACCGGAGCCAAACTCGACCGCCTGGGCCTCTGGACGCACTGCTTCCGCTCCCTGGCGGACCCCTACGACGTCAAAGACCGGCGCTTCTTCGTGGGCTGTCGCTGGATCTACGACCCCTTCACCACCGGCTATGACAAAATCCGGGGCTTCCTCATTCCTGGGTTCATGGTGGCGACGCAGTTTTTCTTCACGTTGTGTTTCGTCGCAGTGTTGGTCAGTGCCATCCTCACGTTGTTGTACTTTTTGTGTTGTGGCCCCGATATGAAACAGTTCGTTCTGTTGATACAACTGAACGCTTTTATTTTGCTGGGAGGGGGGCTGTGTGGCGGAGTCGCGGTCGTGATTTTCGCGTCGCTGGCCAATAAGAACGGGTGGATGCCGGGGCACGACAACAATTTCTTCGGGTGGTCCTTCGTCCTGGCTTGCATTGGTGTGGTGGCTTGTCTGGTGGCCTCGGTGCTGTTCTTGACGGATTGGAACGTGCAGAGGAGGAAGAAGAAGCAGCTGATGGAGTCGCAGACGAGGTTCGAGCTGGAGAGGACGAAAGCCTGACAGGGGCTGCAGTGGGATTCAAATCCGTCCATGATGTACAAACTAAGATTTTGACGTCCATTTTATGTTGGTTATTTTTAGTTTTATGTTTGAGAGTTGTAGTGACTAGTGATTTTAATCCTTATTCCGTCCGTTAATAGTGGTAATTATTTGTAATCATGTTTATTTTTATTATGACATGCAACGACAACGCAATTATTGCTGCCTTATCTACAGTCATATCGACTTTTTACACGTTACTTTATACCTTTGTACTTTGTAAGGCTTTTAAACGTGAAATAAAGTATTTTTACTATTTATGTTGTTTCCTGTTGTGATAAAAAAATCGATAATGCGGATTTATTTCGAATTGATAGTGATTTTCACGCCGTTTGGTTGGCGCTTTGGATGACAGATGACACAACAGTCAACCAGCGGAGTTGAGTTCTTCTTACGTAAAAACAAAGCACTGCAAAGTCGACCATGACCATGAACAGGTGTGGTCAACGCCAACAAAACCCATCGGCGTCATCAAAAACAACCATTATGAATTCAAAACATAACCAATCAATCAAAATGTACGTATCCACAACGTACAAGTTCAAGTCATGACTAATACCAACACCGCCCACCGTAAATGATGGTAGACCAGGTAAACACTGTATAGTAACCCCAATTTCGCCCCCATCAACCCTTTGTTTTAGATACAACGACGCTCATTGGCTGGCAACATCGCCATAGCCTTCTTCGCGATCAGCTTCATCCTTATTACCATAGCCTTCGCCACCCCTAACTGGTTGGACTCCGACTACAGGACCATTGGGGCTAAATTGGACCACCTGGGTCTCTGGACGCACTGCTTCCGCTCGCCAGTGGACCCTTACGACTTCCGAGACCCGCGCTACGTTGTAAACTGTCGCTGGATTTACGAACCCTTCACCACCCGATATGACCAAATCCGGTACTTCCTCGTTCCTAGTTTCATGGTGGCCACTCAGTCTTTCTTCACCTTGTGTTTCATCTCGGTGTTGGTTAGTGCCATTGTCACGTTGTCGCACTTTTGGTGCTGTAGCCCCAACATGAAACAATCTTTTCTGTTGACACAAATGAACGCCTATATTTTACTCGGAGGGGGGCTGTGTGGCGGCATAGCGGTCATAGTTTTCGCGTCGTTGGCCATTAAGAGCGGCTGGATGCCGGGGCCCCCGGGCTTCTTAGGGTGGTCTTTCGCGCTAGCTTGCGTCGGAGTCATAGCTTGTCTGGTGGCTTCAGTGTTGTTCTGGACCGACTGGACCGTGCAGAGGAGGACAAGGGGGCGCTTGATGTGGCCGCAGGCGAGGTTCGAACTGGAGAGACCGAGAGCCTGAGCTAGTGGATTTAATCCGTCCATGATGTACAATTTTAATTTTATTTTATCAAGACTTGTAATAATTTGTACTTTTTTAAACGTAAAATAAAGTATTTTTGCTATTATAAAAACGACAATGCGGAAATTATTTCGAAATTGTTAGTGATTTTCGACCTGTTAGGTTGGACTAATTTCACCAACACAAGTAGGCGTGCCCTTCTGTCACACGAAATGCAGCCAACTTGACAGGTGTAAACAATCGAAATACCCAACCGATTACTAATTAATCATCACGAAAAACACCCAAATTTGTAAAAACCACCCGAAATGACGCGTTCGGGCTCGGTGGAGAAAACCGACTACCCCAAGGCATCAGGTAACCTTACCCCCAAGCACCCAAACCACACCTTCTTCGTTTTGTTTTGTTGTAGGTTACCTCGTAAATGGGGCCTTATTGACCTACATCGCAGGCCTATTTCTCATGATCGCCTTCTGCAGGTGAGCCCCCACCCCCTCCAACCCCCTCTCACACTTTCTTTGCAGCCCCTACTGGGTCAAGTCTTTCGACGAAACCTTCTCCGAATTCAAGAACATGGGTCTCTGGGAATACTGCTTCGAGAATTTCCGCTACCCCTACTACCAATTCGACCACCTCTTCAACGGCTGCCACCACGTTTTCAGTCGGGAGTTCTACGTGATCCGCGAGTGGCTGCTGCCCCCGTGGCTCATGACGGTGCAGGCGTTCGTGACCATGTCCTTCCTGCTCAGTTTCGGCTCTCAGGTCTTGATGGCGCTCCAACTGTGTCGCTGGCCCCTCGAGTTCGTCCTGCGCTACGAATACATTCTTTCAGCAATCGACTTTGTTTGTGTGGCAACCACAAGTAAGTTGTCTTTGCGAACTTGACTCATTGTCTCAGCTGTTTTTATGTTTCTTGCTGTGGCGGTCTTCGGGGGATCGCACGTGCGCCGGGACTGGCTCATGTACCCCAACTTCAACTACCTGTGTTGGTCTTATGGGCTGGCTGTCATTTCGTTTTTCTTCCATGGGTTTGCCGCGATCTGTCTGTATTACGAGGCGCGGCAGAGTTACAAGTTCAGGAGGGAGGCGAAGAGTCTCATCATGCAGATGCACCCCAATCCGCAGCACCGTTTGGGGTGGTAGAGGGGGGTGGCAGACGATCGAAACAAAGGGGATTAGAGTTGGCCGTGATTTTAACATTTTAGTTGGCGACAGATTTTAACTTCATGATTTGAATCACGGGATCTAATTTTTTTCGATCGCTCGGTATATTGCGCACGGTGTGCCTTAAGATATTTCTGTGAGTAAGTACCTAGAGCACTAATGTATTCATATTTAACGTACCTCTTTACTAAACTTACGCCTTGATGGATATTACACATTCCGTCCGTTTATTAATGCATGCAACTATAATATTATAATATTATCTTGAGTGTTGTTAGAATTTTTTACTTTTCGTATTTTTTTTTTTTTTTGAGATTGTTATGTTTATTATAAGAATGAAGTATTTTTGTATCCATGTGTTGGATATGCTATTTTCTTACTTGATCAAATGTGTAAGATAAAAATGCACAATAAATCAATATTTAATGACGTTGAAGTATATTTTTACTCACCGGGTATATTGTGGTGATTGGCAAGCTTCAGGATTGTTTCTATGGTGGGAATGCTCAGATTTGCGTCGAACACGATTAGGGGCGATTTTGCGATGACTTGTTCGTGCTCGAGAATCTGGAACAATCAGTTTTTAGTTTTGGATGAGGGGTCTGAAGGATGGTTTACACTAGATAAGATAGCAGTGTGCGTCATTAAAGTACATACATGTATTTGTTGCTAGTTTGTTGTAGTAGGCGTAGAGAACGACTGATAACAAATACAGTGTGATGATAAATTTCGAAAATCACGAAAAGTAGGGTTAGGATCACTGATAACCTGCAGGTCTTTAAAATGCTAGTCACGTATGAGATAACACCACTTGTTTGATATTTTTTGGAACTTTATAAACAATTTAAGTTTCCTGGATGAAGATATTTTTAGTGGAAATAAACTAAAAAAAGAAAAGTTGCAGCACGCACATTATTTAAGCGGTTATAATTTTCCGAGGATGTTTATATTTTGATAAGTTATTAAAATAATTTCCTGGCGCCAAAAGTTCTTTTGTAATTATTTTAACTATGTATAAATTTTGTAAGATATTCTTCCTGTACGCATTGTATTGAATTTTTTGAAATTTTTAAAAATTGTGATATTTGAATGCCCCGAATTAATTAACTAATTCTGGAAAAAAGGTTGAAGTTATCGAAGAAATGCAGCCGGAAGTGACTTCTGCGCCCCGAAATCTACAAGAAAAATTTTTTAGTTAAATTTAGAAAATCGGCGAAAATCGATCGAAATTTGCTAGTTCTTGCCAAATAACCTACCCGCGAAGAAAATAAAACACGGGTGGGCCAGGCTAGTATTTGCCAAAAGAAAAGGTACTATCCCCGCCCACCCACCCCTATTTTCTTAGAGGGCATGTCATTTGCAAAAATTAGTCTTATCGTAGCGAGTGCTACTAAATTCTTCAGTTTTTCGATTTTTCAACTTTCTAATTTCCCGATTTTTAAATTTTCAATTTTTTGATGTCTTTCGATTTTTGATTTCTCTTAAAACTTTTAACTTTACAATTTGGGTAGTTTTCCGATTTCTTATTTATTTGATTTTTTTAAAATATCGACAAAAAAGATGTTTATTTTTTTTTAATTTTCGATTTTTGATTTTTTGTCACCGAGTTTTTGGAGGGGAGTAAAAAGTAATTTTGATCAGCGATTGCCATGTTTACCATAACTTTAAAACATCTGAAAATTTTGTCTCTAATTTTCAATTTTTGGATTTTTCGATTTTTCAAAATTTCGTTTCGAATAAATTCGTTCTTTTAGTTAAAAAATCGAAAAATGACAAATCGTGAAGAGGAAAAATTTTAACTTGAGAACTTGAAAAATTAAAAATCAAAAAATTACAAAATTGGAAAGTTAAAACTTGAAAAATCAAAAGATTGGAATTAAAAACTGCAAAATTGTCAAACAAATTATCAAATGAAATATTCAAAAGTTGAAAAAAATCTAAAAACTAAAAAAAATGAAAACTAGAATTTTGAATTCGATTTTATAAGATTTGTTATTTTTTCATTTTTCGATATTTCAGTTTTTGATTTTCCGATTAAACAGTTGTACAATTTTCCGATTTCTCATTTATGCAATTTTTCAATTTGTCATTTCTTGATATTATTCAGCCTTTATTTTTTTAGAAGAATAAGTCATCTGCCAAAATCAGTCTCATCTTGACAAGTGCTAGCCCCGCCCACCCACCCTTATTTTCTTAGAGGATATGTCATCTTCAAAAGTCAGTCTCATACTTGCCAAGATAAGATTGATTTTGGCAGATGGCCTACTCTTCTAAGACAACAAGGGGTGGGTGGGCGGGGCTAGTGTCTTTTCTTAGAAGAGTAGATTATTGGCCAAAATGAATCTTAGTTAAAAAATCGAAAAATGACAAATCGTGAAAATGAAAAATTTTAACTTGAGAACTTGAAAAATTAAAAATCAAAAAATTCCAAAATTGTCGAACAAATTATTATCAAATGAAACATTCAAAACTTGACAAATCTAAAAACTAAAAAAAACGAAAACTGGAATTTTGAATTCGATTTTGTATGATTTTTTTTTCAATTCTTCGATATTTCAGTTTTTGATTTTATCCGATTAAACAGTTGTACAATTTTCCGATTTCTCATTTATCCAATTTTTCAATTTGTCATTTTTTGATTTTTTAGTTTTTTTATTTTTAACAAGTACTAGCCCCACCCACCCAGGCTTTATTTTCTTAGAAGAATAAGTCATCTGCCAAAATCAGTCTTATCCTGACAAGTACAACTGTGTGTGAACGTGAGTGTGAGTGTACAACCAAGTTCTTAGCTCTCCAATGTTCTGTGATTTAGTGGGTTTTTCGTTGTAATTTATACTAAAAGTGGTGCCGTTAGAAAGCGTTTCATGCAGCAGTTAAGGTGGTAATTAGAACATCGCCTTTTTTTTATGATTAATGAAGTAAAAATCACTTCTTGTCCCGTCTAATTGTGGTTATAATATCTTATCGTAACTTTTTCTGTGGTATAGCTGACTGAGGTTTTTAACGTAGATGTGAATGATTTAGTCCACCCGATAAATTTCTTACTGTATCTTTTTCTACTGAACTGAGGTTGACTTGCATTATTTACTATCTTTGATTTGATATAATATTGGCGTATCAAACCCCCTCTGGGGGTTTGTAAGAAATGGCGATTAGGTGTAAGAAATGCAATAAAAATATAGGGAGGAATGATGAGTATATTAACTGTCGGCAAACATGTGGTGCGAACTATCACATATCATGTGTTAACCTTAGCAAATCTGCATTTTCTTCATTGAAAGAAAGCAGATTAATTAATGAATGGAGTTGTGGTCTATGCAGTACATCCTCTCTTACGGTTGATGATTGTCAAAAAAATGAGTTAACTGCTTCTATTCCAAGTTCTGTAACTAGTGACAGTCTGAATATACTGCCCGATACACTAGCAACTATCTTCAATGACTTTTCCTCTGCTGTTAATAAAAACTTTTTCATACTTAGCCAACAAATTACCGATTTAAAAAATGAAAATACGAAGCTCCGAGAAGAAATCTCCAAACTAACTGCAAAGTTGCATGTTGAAGTCCCTCAGGTTGTCAATGATACCGTAAAGTCTCCTTCCTATTCAGACACTCTTAAAAATACTACTGCAGTTGTAATAAGACCTAAGGACGTTACTCAAACCATAGCAAAAACCAAATCTGATATCATATCCAACATTCAACCTGATAGTGAACCGGGCATTGCAAAAGTTAAATTTATTAAAAATGGTGGTATAGTTCTTAATTGTGAACATCCTAGTGAACTCAAAAAATTATCTCAGTTAAAAGACTTGAGTGATAAGTATGAAATAAGCGACTTAAAGACTCCAAAACCGAAGCTGCGCATTTCTGGCATATCCAGTGATATTGATGAGCAACAGATAATTCCATTTCTTATTAAACAAAATAAACATATCTTCAGTGAATCTTCTCAGTGCAAAATTCTTAAATACTTTCCTATAAAAAATCGTAATAATTATTTTCAAGTCATATTAGAGGTTAACATCTCTACATACAAAAATGCTCTTCTTTATGGTCATTGCCTAATTGGGCTTGATGGTTGTAACATCTATGACGCTATTGATGTAATTAGATGCTTTAATTGTAATGGTCTTAATCATTCGTTAAAGACTTGTAAAAAAAAAATCTCTTGCCCTAGGTGCTCTGGTCCACATAGGGTAAATGATTGTCATGCTACTAATGAACAACTGCGATGTATCAACTGTGTTAGCATTCAAATTAAAGACAATTTAAGTGATGAGGACATTTCCCATGCTTGCTGGGACATTAACAACTGTTTTTTTTATAAACGGACTATTGAGAAAATCAAGTTAGATGTCTTTGGGATATCTAGCTTGTAGCAATTAAACTATTTTCCTAACTTAATTCCTTCCTCATCAGCATCATCTCCAGCAATATCGAACAAGAGTGTAGATAAAGGAAATATATCTCTCTATTATCAAAATGTTCGTGGTCTCAATTCCAAGCTGTTGCGGTTCTCCAATGCTGTAGCTGCCTGTGCCTATGATTTAATCGCACTTTCTGAGACATGGCTGCACAGTGGAGTTAATGACAGTGAAGTCTTTGACCAAAACTATGAAATCATTAGAAGGGACAGAGACTTGTTGCGTACCAACAAACAGACAGGTGGTGGTGTGCTTATTGCGATTAGATTGGGACTCCATTATACTGAAATTAATCTATCTAACACTCCTTTTAATAACCTTCACCTTATTGACATTGTCTGTGTTAAGGTATTGATTGCTTCTTTATCTATCACAATATTTGTCCTATATATTCCTCCTTCGTTGGCATTAGATTACTATCAATTAATCTTTGAAGCGTTTGCAACGTTAGAGCTGTTGGATGACTCCAATATTCTTATAATTGGTGACTTTAATATACCTGAATTTTTTTCATCTCTTAGTAATCCTCATTGTATAAAAAGTTTGGAATTGTGTAATTTTATGAAAATGTTTGAACTGAAACAGTTTAATACCATTTTAAATTGTGATAATCGGCTTCTTGACATCGTCTTATCCAATATGTGCTGTTCAGTATTAACTTCTGATGATCCATTTGTAGATGAAGATCCACGTCATCCTTCTCTCCATGTAGGTGTATTTGTGAATAACATATCATCAAGCAATTTTCTGAAAGCAGCGTCTAATGGAACCAGTTACAATTTTCGTAAGGCCAATTTTCTTAATCTATATGAGGATATTCTAAATACTGATTGGTCTCTCCTTAATAAATCCACTGATATTAACTCTGCCTGTTGCTTATTTTATGATCTAATATATAAACTGTTCGATAAACACATACCTATGTATAAAAAAAGGGAATATACCTACCCTGCATGGTTTTCACCTGAAATTATTCGGCAGGTTCGTTCAAAAAATCAGCTTAGAAGGAGATATTTAAAGTACGGAAATACAGCTGATGCGCTTGCATTCAGGGAATTGAGACGTAGCATTAAGCGAGAAATATCAATAGCTTATAATGCATTTATCAAGAATTCTGAAGACATGATTAACACAGATCCGT